TAACTATCCATGTCATTTTGTTTAATTATTGTATCCTATTTCATAATTCTGTGGTGATTTTTAAGTAAACTCACCTTTTTTTTAATTTTTTTTTTAGTTTTTCAACATATATAGACAATGGAGGAAACAGGTGTAGGATAGATTTCTGTCAGTGTGTACACAATTTCATAATCTCCACAATGTATATGTTCAGATATGAAGTAAGTTAAATAGATTCAATTGACTAATTAAAATTTCTACTGTATAAGTTAAATAACAGTTGTTCTTAAATGCAATGGTATTGTTCATTCTATAAGTGCTGTGATAAAAAAAAATGACAGTTGAAGTGTTAAACAGCCAAACAATGAACTATATTTATTCTTTTTAAATTTCAACTGTATATATACATTTTAAATTAATGATAATTAAAGTAAAATTATAAAAAAATTACCTTTAATGTTCTGTGCAAAAATATAAAGTTCATTACTTTCATTATAAGTATATTTAAATGTAAAAGAACATCCATCATTATCTTTGAACACACACAGTTTCTCATTTTTATTTTCAACTGTAAAATAAATATATTTATATTATAAATAATTAGTAGTAAAGCAGAATATAAAATTATGTTATAAATACAGCAACTAAAATCATTTTATTGTTTCAATATTTAACTCTGAGCTTATAGAAACTGTAGTTCATAGACTTTCAATGCAAAATTTAAAGTTTTAATTTAAATGGAATAAAACTATATAAACTACTTTTCATTTAATATTTATGTTTTATGTATTTTCATTTAAAGAGATATGTAGTTCTAAACTATTGAAATTATGTTATCTTTTTGATTAGATTTTATTTATTTATTTTAATGGTTAAATTGTACTTTTGCATAAGTTTCATAAAGTTGACATACTGACAATAAGGAAAATTAAAATATTTAATAATGAATTTTTTCACATTTACATATTAAACAATAATTTGATTATTTATAAATATTAAATTTATATATTTTCCAGTTTTTTAAAAATAAATTATGTTTAGTTATATAAAATTCTGCCAGTTTATTTATCAAGAATTAAAAAATAATATTTATTGAGTACTTTTAGTTGTTTCAATCAAGCTTTGTCAGAATGATTAAAAAAGGAACAACAACATTGTTGTTTTTTGAAATACAAGGTGCGTTCCATAAGTAATGCGACTAATTTTTTCATGACACGATGATATGCCATAGCTAGTTCTAACCTGCTGTGCTAAGTGGTGTGGGGTGTTAGCTTCAAAACTCGCCCGGTCTCGTTTGCCTCCAAGCTGCCGGTGTGTGAGGACATTTGTTCCCATGAACCCTATTTTGAGTTAATGTAACATGGAGCAATGGATCATTTTGTGGAGCAATGTTACGCTATCAAATTTTGAGTTAAACTTGGGAAGTCCGCCATCGAAACTTTAGCATTAATTCAGCAGTCCTTTGGGAGTGATTGCTTCTCCAAATCACAAGTCTTTTGATGGCACAAGTCATTCAAGGATGGCCGAGAGGAGGTCACTGACAAACCTTGCAGTGGACATCCATCAACCTCCTGAATTGTCTTCTGTGACATCAGAGGCATTAACCACCACGAATTTGTACCTGTCAGGATCACTGTAAATGCAGCTTTCTACTTGGAAGTGTTCAAAAGACTGAAATCCTAGTCACATACTGTCGAAGTGACATCAAGGACACAAGGGAACTTCATCACAACAATGCGCCAAGCCACAGCACCTTCACTGTCAACGATTTCCTGGCCAGGACCCACACCCCATTTGTTCCACAGCCACCTTACAGTCCTGACCTGGCTCCCGCCAACTTTTCTCTGTTTCCTTGCATGAAAAGGAAACAATGGGACACGACTGAAAACATCAAGGCTTATGTTACATCAGCTCTAAAGGACATTCCGGAGGCGGCCTTCCAGAATGCCTTCAAGGCCCAGAAACACTGCCTTCACAAGTGTATCAATGCAGGAGGGTGCTATTTCGAAAATTTTTGACTAATTGTAAAAATATGTTCAATAAATGATTTTTTTATGAATTTGGTCACATTACTTATGGAATGCACCTTGTATATACAGTAGAACCTCGATTATCCGGACTAATTGGGGATGAAGGTAGTCCGGATAAGGAAAAATCCGGATAATCAAAATAAATACTTTAATTTGTCTTTTAATGATAATACAACACGTTTTCTTTTCGATGACATATCGGTAATATTAAAAATAAATACTGTATTTAAATCGTGATCAAATTTTCAAGAAACAAACGTTCGTATTGAATTTGGACTANTATTCTGTTTGATATAAACATTCAAAATATATGAGGCAAGTCAGATTTCAAGATTTCAGAACTAAAATAAATAGTATTTGCTAAAAATAAATGTAATCATGTGAAGAGCATAAAAATAGTCTAACTTGGAAGTTTTCCAGTATAAGAAGACACTATACATACCTTAAACACTTTTCCAACAACTAAGCTTAATTAAAACAAATGTTTTCAGCCAAATTGATAAGCTTTAATCTGATGAAGTCTTAACAATTAGGCTTAAAATGTTTATTTTGATTAAATTTAGTTGCTGGAAAAGTGTATAAGGTGTGTCTAGTATCTCCTTATACTGAAGAGCATCTTCAAGTAGAACTTTTATCATAATTATATAAAATCATATCTAGCGCAAAAGCAAATAAATAATAAAAATTAATTAATTATATTGGAGAAAAACTAAATTCAATAAAACTTAACTTTTAACAAACTGAAGAATGATCCTCAAATAAATCAGTAATTATGTTCAATTGAATGAAAATAGAATAATGTTTTGAAATATAATCAGCTGTCAAATTAGCATCTTTTAAAGTTTTGAAGAAGATATAATAGTATATTTAAATAAATCTAAAGAAAAAGCACAACCATCAGAAATCAAGCTATGCAAACCCAAGAGGGAGAATAAAGACTAACAAATCAAGATTTTGATAGGAGGAAATCAACAAAGTAAACACACTGATTCTGAAGAAAACAACAACCCACTAACAAACATCTGCTCCAGATGTTAACAGATCAAACAAACATACAAATTTCCAAGAAAGATTTGATCTCCAGTGATTAACTGTAAAATATTTTAATATTTATTTTTTCTGTATTATTAGAATTGTCAACTGGAGAAAATCTCTTCAGGGGACATGCTAGTAAAAAATGAGGGACTTTCACATGAAACAATTTATTTCTTAAACATACATTTACTTTGAGATTGTGCTTCAGAAAGCTTTTTATCTTTTAGCACTGTAGATCTGTGGCCGTCGGCCATAATATTGTATAAAATATATTAATTTTAGTTAGTTTTAAGTTTCTTTGTTCCTTTATTTCTTACTTTTCTAGAACTTTCCTTTCCAACCTTTTTCCCTTGGGTGGGATTAACAATCCCAAGAAATGGGAATGAAACAAAGGGTGAAGTGGGACCCTAAGGCGAAAAAGTAGAAACGAAAAGGAGTCGAGGTCGAGCTCTCGAGGAGAACTGACGAGAGAAGGTAGTGTTCCGGATCGCTTGTAAGACGATCGGAGACTACGAAGCTAAAAGAAGAGGTCTGGGCTCGAAGACGCAGAGTAAGGACGGAGAAGTGGTATAGCTTCAGATTGAGTGTGAAACAATTGGAAGCTACAAGGAGCCAGCGAACCGATAGGAAGAAACTCCTATAACAGAACTTTAGAGGAAGCCATCGAAAGAGTCGTACGAAACGATATAAAGGAAGGACGAGAGACAACGTTCCACGGAAAGGTCCACGTGGTGTCCCACCCAAGGTTTCGAACTCAAAAATCCCGGGTATTTCCATCTCCCTCTTATGCTTTATTATTTTTCTAATCTCTTCTTCCCTTTTTAGTCGTAGGTAGTGTAAGAATTAGTTATAAGTTTTTTGCCTCGCGTATAGTCGTAATTCTCAATTAATCCGCTGTTTGTTAGATCGAATTAACGCATGTACGTACAGAGATTATTGTATTGTTGGGATCTGAAGAAAAACGAACCTGTTCGAAGCGACAATAAATATCTTTGTGTTAAAGACATCCAACGTGTATTTATTTCGTGCTTTTCCGCTCGCGGGACATTGTACTTGTCTCAACGAAACACCACACTGTGATATTTTTCCAGCCCAGTGATTAATTTGGTGATCGAGAGATCGGGTTTCCCAATCTACGATGTGAGAGAGAAAATTCAACAACAAGAGGCCCTTCACAAGGATCCTGATACTAAAGTTTGGGTACCCCTTTTCTATCTCCTATTTCTGATCTATCCTTTATTCTCTGTCTTAGTTATATAAGAAATGATGTACATCTTAGATATAGATTAATTTTTACATTTATTTGTAAGACTCTATGGAACTAATGTCTAGATAATGAAAGGTTCTATAATTATTGTCACGTAGAATAAATCGGTCAAGTAAAGTGTGTATAGTGTAAATATTCGGGTGACAAATATCACTAATTGGAGTCGAGGCTATCTGGCATCCTATAAAATAACCTGTATCTCTAATTTGGGAAAGAAAATTAAAGTCTTTTCATTGTTCTTATATGTTTTTGGTTAATTCTAAAAAATAGAAACAACCTCATTACAACAAAATAAATGTTATTTTTACTTTAATATCATCTATAATTTGAATTATACAATTAATTTGAATATAGATCATATTCAAATTAATGGGAAATTGCAATCATTTATTAAAGCAACATATGCTATGTCCTATTTTTAGATATGATGCTTTTTAATTCTTTTTAGTTAGAAATTCTCATTTATTATTTCTGCTAAATATTATTTAAATAAATTGCAGAATAGCAATAATAATATTTGTCAAAAGACATAACATATTAGTACAATATAAAACTTGTTTAATTTTGACAAAGCATTTCTCAATAAAATAATTTTAGTCCCACCAATGAACATTATAACCCCACTGCCATAGTAGTGACAGCTTTTTGTGATTGTCCAAAGCATTTAGTACTCAACATGTTTAATGCATTCAAACTGCAGAAAATGCAGAAAAGCCAAAATATTCTGAAATCTGAACAAAACTGTGTATATGTTTAAAAAATTTGAAAAAAATAAGTGTGTGTAGATATTTTATGTTTTAGATTAATAATTACAAAGTTTTCATTTATTTACCTTTGACTTCATCCTGTGTTTGAATTCTGTATGAAGTGCAATTTAAACATTCTTCTTCTGTTAACACACCTGATTCAAAGACAGTGCATTCAACACAGTCTCTAATGATATTACAATGACCTTCACAAGTCTGAAATCAAAAATTAATATTTTAATGATAAAAAATACATAAATTTCAGAAAATTTTTAAGGAATGATCTTGATTATGAGATTGCATTCATTTTCATACATAATTTCTTTATTATTAGCATCAAACTTAGCATCATTTTAAGTAATATTGTTTTAAAAAATAACATCAAAAACAAATATGCTTTAGCTGCAATGCTATCTCGAAAAATTAAAAACACTATAGTTTCATGTAATTTTATCTTAAATGTTTATATTGATCAAATATTGTCAGTTTCTGTGAACTTAATTTTATAATGACTTTAGCATTTTCAAATAGACTTATACATTTACTACACTAGAAGGTAGCACATTTGATTAATTTAATTAATATAATCTGATTTAATAATGCATTATCCTTTACAATAATGTAATTTTTGAATGAAATTATATTGGGTATTCAAATGATAAGTTTGTATTTAACCATGCTAAAAGCCAGCAGTGGCATGTTACTGTCATGTTATGTGTTCTAACCTGATG